GTTGGAGTACATTAATACCCTAATTTATTGCGAAGTTTAAGAGAAAGGAAAAGTCGCGGTAAATCGGGGTTTGTGGTAAATCGTGGTGTTATTTTATTAAGCTTATTATTACAATTTTTGTATGATGTATATTAAGCTCGCAGATTTAGATATTCTTATGGTTGGTGGGCTAGACAGTGAAACACGCAAATGTAGTGTATACTTCGTTAAATTACATCATTAGCTACAAAGGAATTAAGTTGGTTAGTTTTATTAGTACTATATATACGAAGATCTAAAATGCCTCAAACAATCGAGAATCAAATAACCTAAATAAAATACACAAGGTAAATGGAGATGAACTACACAAAAATATAGCTTCAAAAATGAAGCTTCAAAAAAGAAGAATTAAAAACTAAGAACCTTATCTTTCAACTTTGCATCTATTTAAACCCAAGCAATTAGTTCTATACTTCTCAATATACCTAAATTCCTCCCTATTTAATCCCCTGGGGTTACATTCTTTCAAAATGGCAAATTTATAGTTGTCAATAGTAAAAATGTCACTGTGATGTTCATAGGCATGAATCGAAAGGGCTGATTTATTACGATCCTCTACTTTAAAACAGGCTCTGTGTCCATTGACACGTTTATGAAAGTTTGGCCAATAGGGCAAACAGCGACCACCGCTTAAGAGCCGGTTAAGAGCCGTTTAAGAGCCGTTTAAGAGCCGCTTAAGAACCGTTTAAGAACCGGCTAGGAACCGGCTAAGAACCGCTTAAGAACCGGTTAAGAACCGGTTAAGAACCGGTTAAGAACCGGTTAAGAGCCGGTTTAGAGCCGGTTTAGAGCCGGTCAAGAGCCGGTGAGCGGCCGCTTAAGAACCGTCTAAGGACCGCTTAAGAACCGGTTAAGAACCGCCTATAGAAAACAGATTTATAAATCTACTAATAAACTTAGAGCCGTTTAAGAACCGGTTAAGAACCGGATAAGAACCGGCTCTTAACACCCTACACCGGCCCCCCTCTTGTCTTTGCCCCCGCTCCCGACCCAGCACCTCTCCACTCCCCTGCTCCCTCTCTTGTTCTTACCCCCGCTCTCGGCCCAGCGCATCTCCACTCCCCTGCTCCCTCTTTTGTCTTTACTCCCGCTCCCAGCCCAGCACCTCTTCACTCCCCTGCTCCCTCTCTTGTTCTTACCCCCGCTCTCGGCCCAGCACCTCTCCACTCCCCTCCCTCCCCATTTTAGACTAGGTTAGTAGTTTTTGACGCATGCAGACCTGATCAACTGGAATGTGGATATCTAATTAAGCACTAGATACGATACATATATAATGTACATTATATGAAACATGAGTACATGAGAGGGAGCAGGGGAGTTTTCTATAGGCGGTTCTTAACCGGTTCTTAACCGGTTAAGAGCCGGTTCTTATCCGGATCTAAGTTTATTAGTAGATTTATAAATCTGTTTTCTATAGGCGGTTCTTAACCGGCTCTTAACCGGTTCTTAGCCGGTTCTTAACCGGTTCTTAAACGGCTCTAAGTTGGTTCTTAGGTTGTTTAAGGCCAGAGGGGGGGGGGTAAATGGCACTTTTGTAGTTTTCGCATATTTGATAATAGCTACTGGAGACGAACAAAAAGAAAAAAACCGGATCAAAATCTGACCTTGCGCTTCTGAGATATCGCGCGCTCAATTTTGAGGTTTACCTGTAATTACATGTTAAACTGGAACTTTAAACGGCTGTAACTTTTTTGACCTTTCGATTCCTTAGTTGAGAAAACCGGCCAATCCCTGATCTTGAGGTTTGGTACAGTGGTTCCTTGGACAATTATCCTCACATCTGGTGCAGCGATTTTTTTTATTTGACTCGGTTCTCAAATTATGAGGTTAACCAGGTCAAAAATTCGAAAAATTTAATTGGTTAACCTCATAATTCGAGAAACGAGTCGAATAAATAAAATCGCTGCACCAGATATCTAGATAGTTGTCCAAGGAACCACTGTACCAAATATCAATATCAGGGGTTGGCTGGTTTTCTCAACTAAGGAATCGAAAGATCAAAAAATGTGTTTTGAGATAGATGCAATTTAGTGTTTTCAAAATTTTGAATATTCACTGGAATGTATCACAGTTCGTTAGTTAGGACTTTTTATACACTTAATAACGTTTGCTTGATCAGACCTGGCCGTCCCTTAAATGATTTTAGCCACTTTCAGTAGTTAATGTCCTTGTATTGTAAAAAATGAGGTTAACCAAGACTTCCTGTAAACACTAACTGCTTAAAATTTGGTTGTTAACCTCGCTTTAGACCATATAACACTGGGATTGGTTTATCAATATGTTATTATATATGTAGTAAAACATTTGCACAGTATAATGATTAAGTTTTTGAGGTTAACATGTAATTGACTGGTCAGATATTCAAAAAATGAGAGGTTAACCTCATTTTTTAGCCATTTACGGGTAAAATCTTCTACTAAAATATGGTCAGTTCAAATCACCTTTGTCACGTGATTATAGTGTAGGTATTGTGATACCAATAGATACCTCACTTCGATATTGTGGTACATTTCATAAGTAAGAATCGTATGTATATTCCCTACGGTACCAAAATGTGATGGTTAACCTCATTTTTTTCATTTTCTCAAGATAAAAGAAAGTCAATCAACACGTCATCTATTTAGAAATGTGTATACCGTAAACTTACGATGAAAATAGTAACTCTATCATTTGATCTATTCTCGCTATATCTAAAAGAAGAGGTTAACCTCATTTAATCACGTTTGGATATTACTTTTTCTGATAATTATGAACCTAAAATTTAGAGTTTACATTTGCTGACTGAAATAACAACAAATTATGGCGTGTAATAAAATATGAACCTCAATTTTATTAACCTCAATGTTGTATATTCAATTTTGTGAAAATCGGTTAACCTCAATTATAAAATAAAGTTAATCAGCTACAAATATGTGAATAGCAGCAATGTTTTTGTCATCAAAAATTAAATCGATTTAGAAAATAATATTTTGGTAGAATTTTTTGACCCCTTACCCCCCCTCTGGCCTTAAATGCAGTTTTAGAGGCGGTTCTTCAACGGTTCTTAAGCGGTTCTTAAGCGGTCCTTAGACGGTTCTTAAGCGGCCGCTCACCGGCTCTTGACCGGCTCTTAACCGGCTCTTAACCGGTTCTTAACCGGTTCTTAAGCGGTTCTTAGCCGGTTCTTAGCCGGTTCTTAAACGGTTCTTAAGCGGCTCTTAAGCGGTTCTTAAACGGCTCTTAAACGGCTCTTAACCGGCTCTTAAGCGGTGGTCGGTCTTTGACCTAATTCCCGAAAGTTTTGCATTGTTTGCCCGAAATAAGTGTCTTCTACAACTATCTCATAACCTTCTTCCTTTATAAGATTACAAAGCTTACATTGGGCCACATAAATAACATTTTTAGATTTACAATTATATCTGATAGGAACTACTAGCTTCTGTCCATTAACTACAAATTCTTCCCCTGCCCTACACATATGCCTGCATGTTCGGCATCTTGGTGCATTGCATTTCTGAGTCCACTCTGAATTATTTTCTGCCGGTGTTCTGCAGATAGCACTGTTTCTCAGTACTCTGTTACCAATCGAGCAGCCTTTCTTCGATGCCACCGTGATTTGTGTTGGGCCTAATAGTGCTTCAATGTCCGGTTCCAACTCCTTTAAGACTGATTTAAGCTGGGGCATCTCCGAGAGGTGTTGGACTGAAAACACCATGGAAGTTTTTTGGGGAACATGAACACTTCCTTCTGAGTTGGGTGGAGGATTGAACAGCTTCTCCAACACTTTTGGCTCTAAGGCGTTCAGTTTCGCTGAGTCGTGTCCACTACGACGCAAATCCGATTTCAATTGCTGTAAGTCCGCCTGCCGTGTATCCTCTCTTGAGTTCCTGTTAGCAATCCGAAGCATTTGGGAGAAGGCTACGGAGTTAAACACGTGTTTTGGGTGGAAACTGTCAGTACGGAGAAAATTCCTGGCATCTGTCGGTTTGGTGTAGAGCTTATATTGGATCTTGTTGGTTGTGTCCAAATACAAGGTTATGTCCAGGAAATTCACCTCCTTCCCCAATTCCCAGCTGCCAAACCTTATCCCGTATTCCGCTGCCAGTTGGTTCAGTTTCTGTACAAAAGAATCAAACTGCCTTGCCGTACCCTTCCAGATTATGAAGCAGTCATCGATGTAGCGTAAAAACAGTTCAATGAGACTATCCCAAGGGAGATCATTCCTAAGTTTTTTATGCATAAGCCAGTGCAGAAATAGATCAGCGATCTGCCTTGAATCGCATCCCCCTGTTGGGATCCCTTTCTCCGACTTATAACAATTGTCTCGGAACGTAACACAAGAGTGGTTAAAGGAGAGTTTGGTGAAATTCAGCAAAGCGTCCTTAGTCCTTTCAGATGTGGTTCGATCCGATTCAAAAGCGTCCGCCATGGCCTCTAGTGCTAAACGTGGGTTAATGGAGGGGTACAGGGCTTCCACGTCCAGGGTGGCTAGTAGGGTGTTTCCTCTTGGTGGGGATGAGTTGTGTTGCTCGATTTTCCTCATAAGATGGGGAGTGTCAAGCAGGAATTCATCTCCACAGTAGTCCTGGCTGATTTTTGTTAGGTGTGGGCTTGACCATTGCCCTAGTCTATAGAGGGGACCATGCTTTGCTGCATTGATGAATCTTTGTGGTGGTACAACCTTGTTCCTGATTTGTTCTTCTGGTAGCTTGTGTACTTTGAACAAGGGCCAGATTTTTGGTGGTACTGGTCTGTAATCCGGGCTGTGTTTCATGTTATTATCCGTGTTGAGACCTGTTATTATAGTCTTGTCCTTAGATGTTATGTGCCCAATGTGTTCTTGGGCCAGGACCTCCTTAACTATCTCCGTTCTGGTGTTCTCCATGTAGTCTTCAATAGTAGAATCTAATTTCGTATACTTCCTAGTATCTGATATCTCCTCTTTTATCGTGTTCACGACGACGTCATAGTCCAGGATCAGTGTGGCTCCCCCTTTATCGGCTTTTGTTACAAACACTCTTTCTTCTTTTATGAGTTGTAGCAGAAGTTTCCTTCCTCGGATTTCGCGTTTTCCTAGATTACTGTCAGGTGTGGATAGCTGTGTGTTCGCGACCCATCCTAGTAATCTAGTTTTCAACTGATCCAGTAGGGGATGGCTGTAGTCCGGGTGGGAGGTTCCTGACACACGCATGTGTCCGTGGATGTCTTCTTCTCTGGAGTCTGAATCAATCCAGGGTCTCTGTTTGAAGTAAGCCTTCCACTCAAGCTTCCTGATAAAGTTTTGGCAATCAAAAAGTAAGTCTTCTCTGTCCGCTTTGTTAGATTCAACAAAGTTGAGCCCTTTAGCCAGGTACAAGTAACATTGTTCAGGTACCTGAACAGATGAAAGATTTATGACAAGTTTTTTCTCCACTATTTCAGCTACTTTTCGAGCGAAAAATTCGGCCTTGCGCTTTTTACGATTTTCCTTGTATCGGCGATACATGGACTTCCGTTGTTTAGGAGACCTCTTACTTTTCTTCCGTTTACTTCTTAGTTTCAGTTGAGGTGCCTGCACTGGCTGTACTTTGAAGAAAGCGATCTTTTTCTTCATTTTCTTGTTTATACTCCTTATGACTGGATTTATCCTCTTGTTGATCGCGTCACTTAAACTCCTTCTACCCATATCCGGGTTCGCTACTAAAAAAGAATGCTCTGATCGACTTATGTCTTCTTCGAGTTTCTTGATGTCTCTTTGTGCTTCTACTAAAGATAAATCCAGTAACTGCTGTCTAGCACTGAATAATATCAAGTCTTTCCTTAATTCAAGGTCTTGGTACAAGTAGTTTTTCCCTATCTTTGGGTTAACACTTGATACTATCTTGGTGGCGCAGAGATCTCGATTGTTGGTGACCAGTTGTAGGAGGTCGAATTGAGACATTCTATTCTCGTATTTACTATGCAAAATAACCAACTCATTAACATCGTTGTCTGTAGGACCCATAGCGGTGATTAAAAACACTGGCGTCAGCAAGATAAATAAACATGTGAGGGTAGCACTATTCTTCTGGGGCTTTAGATTTAGATATTTACTTATAATACTCAATGGATTTGACTCTTGGAAACTTTTGGCAATTGAAAAAAAGCATAACTGTTGAACAAAAACTGGCTATAGCCTATAATCATAACCGTATAAAATCTAAACCTACCACAGTTGAAGTAAAACCTCGAATAGTCTTAATACATTGGTAAAACTAAAGATATTTAATCCTCACTATGCTAAAATTTGGATCTGACTGGAACTTTTATTTTGGCTTTTTAAAAATAAATTATAGAATGCAGCCATAATCAGATTCATAAGCCATAACCGTTCATTATCTAACCTCAGCTCGGTCCAAACGGTGTGAATTGTAACCTATAAGGTACTCTGTGACGCACTAATTACCCCTCTAACACACATACTCCTCCTAATCGCATCCATAAGTAGCCTGATATTTGACGAGGCCTGATTATTGAGGAAACGAGCCAAATTAAAAGTCAGCTTAACTGATACTAGCAATCAAGTAATCTAGCTGCCCCGTCTCTTATCTACATTATGAGCTGCTCTGAAACTCAGATATACGGTTAAATATGATGCTTATCATGGGGAATCTAATCAATTTCAGTATTATCTTCCGGACGTTATACCGGTAAACCCTGTTTAGTATCCTTGTGACGTGATAATAGTGGGGAAACCAAGTGTCACATTTCAGGGTTTCAGTCAGATTATTAGTTTGTTAATTGTATCGGTTATTATATATATATTATATATAGTCTGCATAAATTAGCTTTATTTCATTATTTTATCCTTCCTTGACTTTGATGAGATGTTCTTAATCTTACCAATATTTATTCGTTTGAATCGGCCGGTCTTTCCCAATTTGCCCTATGCAATGGTCCAGCTGTTAACGATTTTAGTAATTTACTGAAAGTTTACAGTATTCTGATCGTTATCTGAAATCAGTTAATAAGACGTGTTGATGGATATTTCCATCCGTAATATTTTATTCTATACAAATTAAGTGATTAATTTTAATCAAAATCGTACTTTTCTGCTTGTCATGCAAGTTCCAACCCTTGCCGCAACTTTTGACAGTTGTACTTTACGTACATTATAAGATTATAGTTATAATCGGCAATCAATCTGCATTGGAAAGAAATGTAGATTTTAGCAACAAAATAAGCTTGAAAAGCGCTAATAACAAAATCCATGCTCGATATCGTAACAGATAATGCCCAATAAAAAGCCATTTCACAGTTACAACTAATAGAATGGTAACAGCATCAAAGGAACGGACCCCTCTCCTGGAATCACAGGTTAGATATTTTACCTGGGACCCCAGGCTATTATAATTTTCATAAACAATTATAGAGCGATTCGGTGGAATGACAGGCTGAGCACTGCCCAGTAAAAGATGTCAAGCTTTGTTATCGCCATTTTATTGCTTAAGCTATAATATCTCAAACTCTTTTATCAATAAAAGCGTTAAATATTTGTCTAATAAAATGGTAGCAAGATTCAATAATATAATTGTTGCAGGAGGTCCCTGGATTGGAGGATACTAGCGGCCCATCAAAACCAATAAAACTAGAACGAACAGTGGGGGTGCTGTCAGCGAGCGCTATTGTCTTTGGAAACTGTGTTGGGGCTGGTATTTTCATCTCTCCTAGGGGTTAGTTGTCGTAATCACTAATCAGTCGTCAGTCCTCATAATCAGTCGTCAGTCCTCATAATCAGTTGTTGGTCGTCGTAATCAGTCGTCAGTCGTCAGTCATCCACTATTGAGTATTGTTTTAAGTAAGTTAACTATGCATTCTGCAGAAGTGTGTCTGCGCAACAAGACATTATTATATAGTCATACCACATATTCAAACATCATACTATTATAGTATTATACAGTGGGGTGCCATTTTTTTCGCGCGCGAGTTTGCGTATAATGGTTCAATGAAAATTATTGGTTCAACACTGTTTGTATTGTCATTATCAGAAATGACGAAAAGATATATGGCACCCCACTGTACTATTATGCTATTATAATAAACTCCCTCGTATTTGGATCCAGGCTTACTCTCGTGCGACGTGCTGCTCAGCGATTTGAAATGTCACTCGTCAGGGCCTACTTGGCATCCGGCTTATAAATAATCTTTACGGTGGTTACTGGGTTGATTTAAAATCAATTAGTTACTAATTGGTTACTAATTGGTTACTAATTGGTTACTAATTGGTTACTAATTGGTTACTAATTGGTTACTAATTGGTTACTAATTGGTTACTAATTGGTTACTAATTGGTTACTAATTGGTTACTTATTGGTTATTAATTGGTTGCTGATTGGTTACTAATTGGTTACTTATTAGTAATTGGTTACTTGGTTGATATTCGTCGAATGAAATTTTAAATCAATTATGAAAGTGCTTTTAAATTAAGTATGAAAGTGCTTTGAATCAAATATAAAAGTGGATTGGGATTTTATACTTTTACTCTTTCAGTTCCATTTGAACTGTATAACTTTTAAATAAACTGCATTGTCGTTAATGGTAAAATTACAATTTTTACAAACAGTTTATAGTTATACAATCCACCGTACAGTAACTATCTTGCCGCAGCATTTTCCGCTATTTATGAAAATGACAGAGAGTTAACATTGAAGTATCCGGCATTTAAGTTAACGTCTATTTAAACGTTAAAAGTTGTAATTATTCCTCTGCAAAGTGCAAATACTTCTCACTTAACTATATGCAACTCAACTTTTAGACGTCCCGAAATTTCAATTCTTTAACCGGTTAAGTATGGTCACTGTCAGGGAAAATGAAATCATTATTTATAAAATGTCCCTCGTACGCTTAACTCGTAAAAAACTAAACTGTTCAAATTAACTTTAACAGGCAAAATTTAGAATTCCAAACATTTCGTCAGGTTCCAATCAATTGCGGCCAGGTAGCGCAGTTGGTTAGAATGCCTGTCTTACAATCGTTAGGTTGCGAGTTCGAAACCCACTGACTGCCTGGTCGTGGGGAGAGCGTCGTCGACGTTCAGCTAAGGATCATGAGTGGTCTATGCAGCCCCCCGGTCTACTCAGCCGAATACTCGAGAAATCGGGTGTGAGGGTTAAATGAGGAGCTGCACATTGCAGCAAAGTCTCGGACGAAGAAAGTATGGTACACACTACCTTAACCGTCACTGGCCAAAAAGATCCTTCGGCTTCCTGTAATTGGCTGGTTGCACTTGTGTAACATTGTGGCTGTTGGAATACACCGAAGTAAAATAAGTGTCTAGATAAAAAAAAATACAACGTTGTATTTACCACAAAATATAACGTCGTATGTGATCAAATTAATTTGGAAAATAACTCAATACAATCTGATCAGCGTTGTTGTATGAGACGGGTGACTTACGTCAATCGACAATATCAATCATCATTAAGCTGTTTATAGGTATCAAGTAACTTTATAGCTTTATGTTGATTAAAGAATAAATATAATAGTTTTTTTGAGTAAATTGTCACAAGTTATTTAGTAACGTCTACCCTATTGTAAGTCCAAATAAACAAATGAGGTCATATTTTTTAAATATCTCAAGGCCAATATCTTAGACTTAAGGCCAATAACTTTGATTCATAATAAATTTGGCTACACAAATTTTGGTTACCATAATTTTAGTCGCAAATTTCGCCAATTTTTTAGTCTGCAACAATTTTAGTCAAAAACACTAAATGCCTGCGGAGTCACTTTCACTTTCAGTTTCAGTTTCAGTTTCACTTTCACTTTCACTTTCACTTTCACTTTCACTTTCACTTTCACTTTCAGTTTCAGTTTCAGTTTCAGTTTCACTTTCAGTTTCACTTTCAGTTTCACTTTCACTTTCACTTTCACTTTCACTTTCACTTTCACTTTCACTTTCACTTTCACTTTCACTTTCACTTTCACTTTCACTTTCACTGCCCGCAGGTGTGTACGAGAAAGCAGGAAGTGCGGGAAGTGGGCTCATTATCTGGGGATTATGTGGACTCGTTGCTACTCTCTGTACTCTCGCTTACGCTGAGCTTGGTAAGGATAAAACCAGAATTCTGGTTTTTTACTATTAACTTAAGTTCTTTTTCGTTGTAAGGTTTTTCAGCAAAAGACTTACTGTTCTATACTTTACCTTGTCTATAAAATTATGTTTCAGGTACCATGATGCAGGAGAGCGGAGGAGAGTTCGTCTACATCAAAAATACTTACGGCAAATTCCCGGCCTTTCTCTTTTCCTTTTGTAATGCTTTCCTCATCAAGTTAATACATTTTTTTAAATGTGCATTTTTATTGGGGCTAGGTTTTATCATACGATAAATAAAAGAAGGATTTAAAAAAACCCGTTATGATTTATATAATAATGAACTTTATAGCATCATGTTTAGACTTTTAGAGATATTTTCGCATCGAAACATTGAACAAAACCCTCGCCAGACCAGCAGCACTGACAGTGACAGTGATAACATTCTCGGACTACCTGGCTGCTCTGATCTGGGGCGAAGGAGTCACACAAATAATGGTGAAATCTATCACGGCCAGCGCTATAGGTTGGTGGTAAATGTTAAAAGTTACTTTTGTGGATAGTTTCACTTTCACTTTTATTTTACTATAATAGGCTAAAGATAATTAAAGAATTAATTATAGTCAGCTCTTGTGAGGGCGAGACGGGGAGAATATTGTTGTATCACTCGTGGCCCGACTTAAGTTGTCACCAATTTTAACAAAAAAAATGCTAATATAACTTTGCACCACACTACACTTGGGTTTTGGGTATCGCTTACTATGTTATAAATCTTTTATATTCCAGTACTTTTGACGGTGCTGAACATAGTCAGTGCAAAGCTGGTGATCAAGTTTTGCAGCATCATCTCTGCCCTGAAAGTGTTGATGGTAGGGTTCCTTCTCGCGTGCGGTGTGGTGATCATCGTAAAAGGCAAAGGTAACTTTACATTCATATTCTCGTTCACTTTCGTCAGATCGTAGAGAAAAAGGTTTTTCCCAAAATCAATGTCACGTGTCAAAGGCAAATATCAAAGGCAAATACCAATGTCATATCAACTAACAAATTATTTGCAGGTCATTTTGAAAACTTCTCGCCAGCAACTGCTTTCGAGAACACTTCAACCAATCCTTCTGACTACGGACTTTCTTTCTTATTTTGCTCTTTTTCCTTCCAGAGCTGGAACTCTCTTAACTTTATGACAGGTACGCGATGTGTCCCTGTTAGGTACTGTACCTGTTTCACTTTACCAGCTCCTTAACTCACTATAATTATCGAAGATAGTGAAAGTGGGTACTATATGATATACTCAACGGCTATCCAACAAAGTATTTTGATCTTTTTATAACTTTCATCTTTATTTTCGTACAATTAAAATGCTCAATGGCCTCCCTTTCTAGTTTCACTTTCATATTCACTTTCAGAGGAATTGAAGAGCCCAACGACAACCCTGCCAAGAGGTGGTTTCCTAGGAATGGCGGCGGTGACTTTAGCTTATATTCTGGCGAACATATCCTACCTTATGATGTTTAGCGTATCTGGAATAATTGACAGCAAAACTATCGCCATGGTAAAAGGGCATACATTATTTTAATTTCATTTTTTATTAATATATCTTAAATGGTTCACTATACCACCATTCCACTCTTTTAGAGATGAAAGGATTGACTTCAAGTCTAAGGTCCCTCACTTTCACTTTCACTTTCACTTTCACTTTCACTTTCACTTTCACTTTCACTTTCACTTTCACTTTCACTTTCACTTTCACTTTCACTTTCACTTTCACTTTCACTTTCACTTTCACTTTCACTTTCTAAGATGCCAGCTAATAACCTCCTCCAGGACAGTGGACATCTGGCATTTGGCAAAGTAGGGGAGCTCATCATGTGTATTGGACTATTACTGTCTTGTCTCGGGTCCGTCAGCGGTGGTATGATGTGTATCTCAAGGAACATTCAGGTATCTTATTTTTGATAATCTATCAATTTATCTATTTTCTATAATTTTCTCTGATATTTATCTGATTGATATTATATAAAGTATTCTATGGCCCATGATAGTCTACCCATCCTTATCTCTTAAAATTGTTACAGGTCGCTGAGATCTTGCTAATTATTTTAAAAACAAAAAGTGGCATAACTTATGTTCTGATAAATATTTTTTCTTCTAAATTTCACATAATGTTAATAACAAGTAGATGAACCTTTGTGGCAAGTTTTGTGTGATTGAGAGCTTCACTGAGCTTATTTGACCAATTAAGCCCCTGAGCGAGCTAGCTTGAATTTCTCACCCAGAACTGTTTACATTGGTTAATAGAAACCACCAAAAAAAATCCTGGGTAAAAAAATTAAAAAACCACCGATTTATTTATGTTTTACCAATTCTATTCACCACGATGCATCGCACATTCCATTAACTCTACACTGCTGTACAGTGTACATCCTATATTTTAACTGCAGATAAGGACTATCACAGATGATCCTTCCTGCTTGTTTATATCGTTCTGCTCACTTGCCTTAACAAATTTAAAATTATAGCTGGATGATTAGCCTACAATTTTATCGATTTTACAAACGGTGGTTTGAAATAGGTTTACAGCAGGTCAGCCGATTCCCATGAGATGAGTAAATAAACTTGAAAAGAAAACAAACGATAACGTAGATTTCCGGTCGATAATCCATAATCTTATGAATTCTCATGGGAATTTTACGATAGCAGGGATAGATTTCCCCCTTAAAAGTCGCAACAATTTATTAACCATTAACGATCATCTCATCATGCCTCTACTAACGATCTCCAGCAACGGATATTTATTGTTTCTGAATCCAAGGATACCCCCTTCGCAGCTCTTATCCAACTGTTCATAGCGAAATTCCCTGGAATCACTCCCCCTACTAGGAAAGCAGTCTACAACCTTAAGAAGAAATTTACAGAACATGGAGTTGTCACCAACCGACAAAAGGATGCATCTGGTCCACCATCTACGGGAGTGACCTTTGAGAACACTGTGGCTGTAGTAGGATCTGTGGCAGACCACCCCAGGCAATCGACCAGAAGACGTTCGGCCAATCTTGGCATACCTAGGACGACTTTGCAACGCATTCTGAGGACTGAACTGAAACTGTACCCTTATCGCTGGACAGTTCACCACACTCTGCAGCTTCAGGATCCACCAGTTAGAGTACGCTTTGCTGACTGGTTGCTTCTGAAAGATTCCACAAACGAGGACTTTATCGGAAACATCTGGTGGACCGACGAAGCCAAGTTCTGCCTCCACGGTTCCGTCAACAGCCACAACGAAATACACTGGGGCAGCCAGAGACCTGACAGCGTGCAGCAGAGACCTACTCAGAACTCTCCAAAGCTGAACGTCTGGTGTGCGATCTCTTCTCACGGAATCATCGGACCATACTTCTTCAAGGATGCAGCTGGTGCCACTGTAACTGTGAACGGAGATCGCTACCTACAGATGTTGCAGAGCTTCTTCATACCAGAACTCTTCAACTTCTGTGCACACCACGACCTGGATCCGTCTCTCATGAGCTTTATGCAGGACGGGGCGAGAGTGCACATCCCCAACCGCATTATTGATTACCTTGGTGACCAGTTTGGGAGCATGACGATCGGAGAGAAACTTGCTCAACACTGGCCAGCCCGCTCTCCTGACCTCACTCCTTGCGACTTCTTCCTGTGGGGATGGTTGAAGGATAAGGTCTACGAGAGTCTACCCATCCCCAACCTTGCTGCTTTAGAAGTTGTCATTCGTGACAACTTGCGGAACATCCCCATCACTCACTGCCAGAACTCCTGTTTATCAGTAGCCAAGAGGATGGACGTCCTGAAGAGCCGAGGCGGTGGTCACATTGAGCACCTTCTCTAAACGGTGATTTTAATCGCCAACACAAACGGTGATTTTAATCGCCAACACAAACGGTGATTTTAATCGCCAACACAAACGGTGATTTTAATCGCCAACACGGCGGGCAATGGATGAACCTTCTCGTGGTGCCTGCCGAGAAACGCAATTCAATTGATTTCAGTATCGATAAAATTGTAGGCTAATCATCCAGCTATAATTTTAAATTTGTTAAGGCAAGTGAGCAGAACGATATAAACAAGCAGGAAGGATCATCTGTGATAGTCCTTATCAGTTAAAATATAGGATGTACACTGTACAGCAGTGTAGAGAATGGAATGTGCGATGCATCGTGGTGAATAGAATTGGTAAAACATAAATAAATCGGTGGTTTTTTAATTTTTTTACCCAGGATTTTTTTTGTGGTTTCTATTAACCAATGTAAACAGTTCTGGGTGAGAAATTAACGCTAGCGCACTCAGGAGCTAATTTTGTCAGACAAGCTCAGACTCACACAAAACTTAGCACGAAGTTGTGTCTAATTATGATTGACATTCTCTAAAAATTTGAAGCAAAAATATTAATCAGAACGTAAGTTATGGCGCTTTTCCATTCTGAAATAAAATAATTAGCAAGATCTCAGCGACCTGTAACAATTTTAAGAGATAAGGACGGGTAAACTATCATGGGCCACCCTGTATCATATATGCGATATATATCATAATAAATGAATTGTTTCTATGTCGAATTTGTAATGTGATATCTGAATTTGATGCAGATATGATTTGCAAATTTCAAGTCCTCGCAAAAATTTTATATTCATTGTTTGGAAAAGTTTACCTACTTGCAAAATAAAAGATAATGCCGAAACAAGAGGAGTTAGCATAGCTTTTATTTCTATAATCTAACAACACTTCATCAGAGTACAGCTGAGGTAGGTCTGTTTCCAAAGTGGATGGCGGGAATCAGTCCTACTTTCAACACCCCCGTACCTTCTATCATCACACTAGTTAGTCTTATTCTTATCTTCCTGGATCTTTATCTAGTTGCAAGTTCTTTTATGTAGGTCGTAGATTATATAACCATGTTGATTATTTGCCAACATCAGGGGAAAGAGGTGTAAGAGAAAGTGAAAGTTTTCTCAGTTAATCTGACCATACTGATATGCATTTGTCAGGGAACAATGCAACTTGCCTATCTGTTTGTTGACACTACTACCCTGATACCCTGTCTCGCCTCCGTGGAGTGGTTCTTCTACTGTGTTACCTTCTCTTGTCTTATCTATCTCCGCTATACTGAACCTAAGAACTACCGTCCCTTCAAGGTAATCTCCGTTCATTTAAAACTTAAAAGTAATGGAATATAAAATAATTACAACACTACGTATTTATTACATTTATTGAGTATAGTGTAATGGGATGGAAGCATTTAATCAGATGTAGCTAATCCACACCCTGGCTCCATAATATGAAGATTTTAATAATAATTTAATGTGAAGAATTTTGGTTTTGATGAACAAAAATGTTTTGTTCTAATCAATGAATAACGTTGTTCATAACTAATAATTCAATAACCATTTATGTAATAAAACTACTAACTTTTATTTATTAATCGATTATATAATGTAAGCCATTAACTATATTAGCTATAAATACTTAATTAATTGACTAACTATTAACTGATAATTAATTAATTAACTTGTAGGTACCATTGCCAGTGAGCGTGTTGTTGTTCATAGTAACAGGTACCTGCGTGTTGCTTCCCTTATTTTCCAGTGACAGATACACTGTTATCTTAGGTAAGAGTTATATTTATAATATCAGCTATTCTGATATACAGGAATCTCAAATTATCCGGCCACAATATTATAAAAACTTGGCCTTGAAATTATCAAGACCCAACCAAACCCGACGGACCAGGAACCTCGCCAATTCCAATAATTTCAATAATCCTGTTCGTTTCTATGGATATCTAAAAGTGAATCTGTTCCTTCCAGGTTTTACTTTCACTTTCACTTTCACTTTCAGGTTTCGCCACACTACCACTGGGCAGTACACTCTACATAGCCATGAAATGTTACATCAAGCATCGCTCCTCCTGCTCAGCCCTGGTGGTATCCGACCACAGTTCTACGGAAGGCAGTTTATTCAGCACTTCCTATGGTAGTGGGGATAGTGTGCCGATAACTCTTAAAGAGAAAGTTAGAAAGGGAAAGGAAGAGGGACTCAACGTGAAACAGAGCCAAAATTAACCCATTTTATTGACATGAAATTGGTTAGAAATTCGGTTTTGAGATCACTTAAACTTGTTGCAGTAATTCTGGAGTTATTGAATAAGTAAAGAGAGTAAATGACATATTGTTGGGAGTACACGATTGACTTATTAAAGTATTAACATATTAATGATAATTTTTGTTTTAGTTCGAAATTTATCATGCTGAGTTCAAAATGACTGAGATAACTTTAACTTTCACTTTAACTTGGATAACAATGATTATTTAAAAGCCTTGTCGATGTTATTGTTATTCCCAGCCGATTATGATATCTCATTTTAGTGATATTACTATTATACTAATACTATATTGTACTGCCATTTGAAGATTTTTCGTCGCTAATTAAGTGCCGTTTTCTCAGAAAAGGAAGTAAGTGATAACCTCGCCATTTCGAGATATTACGACTTTTGCGTTTTTGGTTTTTTTCTCCGCTTCTTTTTTTGCGTAAGATCAAACGTAAACACGTTGAGTTATCAATAATTAGTCAAATTTTAACTTTTCAGAAAAATTAAAGCTTTGAGCCGTCTAGAAATAACAACTTTTATGCCAAATAATTGAAAAATTCTTTGAATTATAATAATGATATAGATAACACGAATTTCGACAAAATAATTTTCGTTTACTTTGAAATAGAGGGAATGTTAGGGGAGGGGGTGAGACTCTATTATAAGGCGTGACATGCACCGTAGGCACTTCGGCATAGATAATCGTCATATTGACTTAAACCAGTAGAAACCAATTGGGGATCGGAAAGGATATCAGCCTAGCAAGTAGAAACAATTACTGTGTTTCATTTGAAAATGTGATAAATTCATTACAAGCCGTGCTATAAGCAGAAGACGAGTATGGACCCCGTTAACAGCATAAAAGTACGGAAATGACTTGTTTGGGAAGATTATGCAATGAGATTGATTTTAAAACTTCGCCGTACATTATAGAGTCCTGTTTTTTCACGTTTCCACGCCCCAGAGTCCTGTTGGTAGGGCGGCGCCTCACAGTTACAATTGATCTCGTCCTAAAGTCGATACCGTCCTGGCCCTAGAGTCCTGATCCCGAACCGTTTTATAACGGTACTAATGAGTAATAGAATTGACAATGGGAATTATCAATTGTAGCCACTTTCTCGTGATGTTCGAGTAAAGAGGTGCGACAACAAATTGCATCCAACATTCCAAGTGATGTGTTAATAATGTAGCACTAGCAGACGAACGCCCCTTATTCTAGCTAATGGGGAAACAACGAAAGCCGCTTTATTGCTGATAGAGAAAAATATATCAAACAATTGATAAATGATGATGATCCCTACCCCACGAATTAACGTTGTTGCCAGGCTACAACCGATTCAAAGAGTGTGCCTTTGAACAATGAACGGATGAACCGCCCACCCAAGTGAGGGTAGTTCAGTTATTCGGACACTTATTTCTCGTCGAAATATTTTGTGTTTAGATTAAGTCATGAGGAATTTAACATTCATAGTTGTGATTTTCACGGCAGTTCTTCTGGTGCTGACAGCTTCAAGCAAGTGCAGTCTTAACGCGAAAGCTCTGAAAAGTAAGATAAAGCAGTACAATAAAAGCTGTCTGGTGAAAGGATTCCAATCATCCATCGGGTGTGAGGCTGGAGATGGAAAATTGAGCAAGAAAGCGCTGAAGAAATGTCGCAAGATAGAAGCAATATTGAAAAAGTGTGACTACTCCTGCCCAACTGATGGAGGTTGGAGTGACTACAGTGAGTGGACAGCTTGCTCTGCAATATGTGGGGGAGGGAATCAGACTAGAGAGAGATCTTGCAGCAACCCTGCCCCAGCGTTTGGAGGAGATGACTGTGTTGGAGATGCTGAGGAGTACCAACAATGCAATACAGATCCATGCCCAGGTAAAGATTTGTTTGTTGTTTTGAAATGCTTTGCAAATCTATTGGGGTGTTATCAATCTTGATTTAATCCTTTATGCTTAAATCACGTTAAAGCTAAACAAAATATAAATTCAATGTTACTGTTACAGTTGACGGAGGATGGTCACACTTTGGAAATTGGTCTGAGTGCTCGGCAACATGTGGGGGAGGAAATCAGACTAGAGAAAGATCTTGCAGCAACCCTGCCCCAGCGTTTGGAGGAGCTGACTGTGTTGGAGATGCTGAGGATTACCAAGAATGCAATACAAAAGAATGTTCAGGTAGGATACAATTTCGTTCGTTGTTTTGAAATGCTTATTTTAAAAATGTTTTGTCAAATTTTGTTAATTTCTGATTTTCAGATATTTTAATCGCCATAGAATTCATACGATTTTTGAACAAAAGTAGACCCATTTATGAGCCGTATTTCGAAATATATTAAACTGAAAATTTAGAAATTTTCCCAAAATGTTGGGGGAAAGAGAAAAGGTACAGTAAATCGGGGTTTACGTTGGAGGACTTCCCGCTTAACGACGCGCCGTGCAAACTATTGCAACGAGATCGTTGCTCTACTAATTCGCAGAGCAACGATCTGGAAGGGTTGACATCGTCAATCATGGGTTTACGGTAAATTTGGGTTTTATTGCATATCTATAATTCAAATTGGATTGCTAACAGTATTACTATTAATTAAAGGATTAACCCTTTTATAAGTTTAAATAGCTTAAATCAAGTTAAAACTAAAATTAGGGCAATATCCTAGACCTAACAATATAAATTCGGTATTACTGTTACTGTTAGTCTTACATTTACACTTACAGTTTACCGATGATGACCGTCGCATTTTGGAAATTGAAATTCAATCATCGATGAGAGAATGGGTCGGGAATTACCTGGGGAGCCCAGGCTATAATATTCATAAACCGAATAGAGATTCGGCCCGGAATGAGTCATGACAGGCTGAGCGCCGCCCAGGCCCAGTAAGTCGGGAAGCGTCAAGAGTGCAGCGATCAGTGCCAATAATATTAATTTCATCATAGATGAAACGATGAAATCAGGTTTAAAAGGTTGTATCTAAACAAAATATAAATTCGATGTTACTTTCACAGTTGACGGAGGATGGTCACACTATGGAAATTGGTCTGAGTGCTCTGCAACATGTGGGGGAGGAAATCAGACTAGAGAGAGATCTTGCAGCAATCCTGCCCCAGCGTTTGGAGGAGCTGACTGTGTTGGAGATGCTGAGGATTACCAACAATGCAATACAAAAGAATGTGGAGGTAGAGTAGAAATTCGTGTGATGCTTTCAAATGTTTTTGTCGAATTGCGAACAAATCATAATCATTGTATTGGAAGATCACTAAAAACAAAAGTTGCAACCTCATTTTCTGTTCATGAAATTGAACATAGTCATTCATCAAAAATCGTATTCTCAAACATTTTAGTGAACATTTGGTGAATAAAAGTCTTAATTGAAACTTTATTGGATTCGATTGCTATTTATCATGATTTCGTCAAATCAGGTTTAAAAGTATTAGAATATAAATGAGGTTTAACTTTAACTGTTACAGTTAACGGAGGATGGTCAGGCTTTGGAACTTGGTCTTCGTGCTCTGCAACATGTGGGGGAGGAGATCAAACAAGAAGAAGATCTTGCAGCAACCCTGCCCCAGCGTTTGGTGGAGCTGCCTGTGTTGGAATTGCTGAGGAATCCCAGAAATGCAATACAAATCCATGCCCGGGTAGGTTAAAAATTCGTTTGATGTTTTTAAATGCTTTTCATGACGTATTTTGAAGAACAGAAATGTTATTAATTTCAAAAATAGTTGTTTGTGATTGGTACGGTGGACAACTTTAAAACAGCTATCCTAAAACGTTATATGGGATACTGAAGGGAAAGGAAGCAGTTCTAACGAGCTCTTCTCAAACACAAGGATATATCTTGTGAATTCGGCTAGTATATATGAAACATTTGTCATGGAGTTGTAGAGGGAGTTATGTGCCTCGCCGGGCTAAAGTAGTGGATGACCTTGCTGTACGGCAAGTTAAACAAGGATCTGAAACTACTAGGTTCCGTACAGACTCAACTCTGCACCCGTGTCAATATGTTCAATATATGCAAGCCTCTTGATTTATATTAGCAATTAAGCGGAACACCATTCAAACACGGATCGAGGAACACTACCTACCATTGTAAAAACACTACGATGATGATTACTCACTCTACACTCTACTAGTACTAAGGATAAAATTTATAACCTCATTTCCTGAATTTCAATTCCAATTAACTTATTCGTGATTTTGTGCCACGTTCACACACTGACAATACATTTATTATTATTATTACAGTTAACGGAGGATGGTCAGACTTTGGAACTTGGTCTGTGTGCTCTGCAACATGTGGGGGAGGAGATCAAATAAAGACAAGATCTTGTAGCAATCCTGCCCCAGCGTTTGGTGGAGCTGCCTGTGTTGGAATTGCTGAGGCATCCCAAAAATGCAATACAAATCCATGCCCAGGTGAAATACAAATTCTGAGCTTTCTAAATCATACTTTGTTTACTGAAACATTGCAATTTTTAAAACCACACACCTGTTATAATTATCAATGTAGTATTTTTATATACGCGTGCCTTCACGTACCTTACCATATGCACATTCAAATCTGTGTATTATCTTCACGATTAATTTAATTAGCCAAAACCAACTCAAATCTTAAAGCAAAAAGAGCCCAAATATCGTTTTACAAGCCTGTCACGTGCGTGCGTTTGAGAAAATGATTATTTGCGCTCACAACTCGTCAAAAAATGATTTTCATTCAAAATCAGCATAAAAATACATTGATAGTATATATTAGCTTACTTTTACAATCCTACTACAGCTTACTCATATAACAAAAACGTATAAACATGTACACATAACGGTCGAAATCTATAATAGGTTGTCATATACGTTGTATGACCCGCGCCGCGCACGAGTGAGCGGCTCCCCCTAGCTGTATCGTAAATAAACTCTACATAGTGAAACGACCGTGGGGGTCACGACGTGATACAAATAATAGCCACCGACATTTAAACGTGTAACATCCGTCAAAAATGCTAACGTTATTTGATTGACAATGTCAACTTTTCAAGATCGTTGCTCTGCATGTTTGCAAAATGCGAATTATAACAAAGCAACGATCTAGTCAGTAAAATGCAAATAACCATGGCACATGGGCGGCGCTCAGCCTGGTTTTCCGCCAAAGCGAATTTTTATTATGTTCATGAACATAATAGCCTGGGGTCCTCAGCTGTAAGATGCGAAGTAAGAATAATAGTTTGCGCGGCGCGTCGAAGCGGCGAAGTCCGCCCTGTATTGATTCATGATGTCAATCCTTCGCAGCTCGAAGAGGCACAGTGGTGCATCTCGCCGATCTACCGAAGTGGTTGCGAGAAGCATTATTTAATGCGCGCGCGACCCAGTAGTGCATCGCGCTACAAGCCCTGTATTATGTATTAACCAGCAAATATTTTATTTCTTCTTAAAAGCTGCTCTAACCAGAGCCCTTTCGCTTGCAGTAGCGCGCGACCGCCGTAGGCGGCAAAGGCAACTTGTAAAACAAGCGCGCGTCACGCAGTACGCGTATACACATTGCTATGTGAACGTAAAAAGCACGATAACGTGAGTAGCTTTTTTCGAAGTGCCTCGAAAGTGATTATCTTTATCGATTCAAGTCAACTTAATGCAAAATAATTGTTCATGCCGTACGTTGAATGACCCGCCGCGCACGAGTCCGCGGCTCCCCCTGTATCGTAAAACTCTACATTATATTGAAACGACCATGGGAGTCACGACGTGATACAACAAAATAATGCAATTTATAAAACTATCAAACTATGTCACTTTGGAGGACTTCGCCGCGCCGCGCATACTAATATTTTGATCTTTCTTAGCTTCGCAGAGCAACGATCCTGATAGGTTAACATCGTCAATCAATATCTCACGTAAACAACTAGCAAACTAGCTGTAAAAATTACCGTTAGAGGTCTATTTACAGACACTGACTGTTGTGTCATGGAAAAGGGGTGAAGGGAATGATTTAGAAAAAATGTCCAAAAATACATCGATTTAATTTAGTTTATTTTAATACCATCAATGCCCTTTCACAAAAAGTAAAAGTATATGCTTTAAGTGCACAGATAGAGTGGTAAATTTGTAATTGCTACCCTAATTCTGAGCTGAATCACGAATTTGAAAATAGTTTACCTTATATTAATGCAACATGAGTGATAAAACAGTTTCAAAACAAATTAAATGGTGTTGGCTTAATAATAAAACAAAATTATATTATAGTTAACGGGGGATGGTCAGACTTTGGAACTTGGTCCTCATGCTCTGCAACATGCGGGGGAGGAGAACAAATAAAGACGAGATCTTGCAGCAACCCTGCCCCAGCGTTTGGTGGAGCTGTCTGTGTTGGAATTGCTGAGGCATCCCAAAAATGCAATACAAATCCATGCCCAGGTACGTAGGTACAAATATTTATTTAACGTATTCCAATACTTTTGACAAATTGGGAACAGATCATAATCATAATCGTTTTATCTATTTGGAAAATTGTGAACTGTCATTGATGAATAAAATGCAATGAAATAATAATTGGTCCCAGAACTGTTCTTTGCAGAACACCACTAGACCAGATAAAATTTGTTACCCAATTTTCTGTATTCTAACTTAATTCATAACACCTAGATACGGTTAAGAATCTCCTTCCCGTTTTTCTAAAATCCGATCATTTAACATTGAAGTGAAAATTTAGCGAATGAAATTATCATTTTAAACTTTAGTGGAGTGCTGCTTAAATTGAGTTCATCAAATCAGGTTAAAAGGGTAATAACTTATTACTTATCGAAATATGCTGTTACAGTAAACGGAGGATGGTCAGACTTTGGAACTTGGTCTTCATGCTCTGCAACATGCGGGGGAGGAGATCAAATAAAGACGAGATCTTGCAGCAATCCTGCCCCAGCCTTTGGTGGAGCTGAATGTGTTGGAATTGCTGAGGCATCCCAAAAATGCAATACAAATCCATGCCCAGGTAGGTTAAAAATATTAGTTTTTAAATATTTTTGACGGATTGCGAACAAATTATTATCATGTTATTAATTTTGAAAATAGTTTCTTGTCCTTAGTGGAAAAATGAAAAACAGCCGTCCTAAAACTATTCTTTATGAGTTTATGGAGCACCACTAAGGATTAAAGTTACAACCTCATTTTCATAATTTTGATTTCAATTCGCATATTCATGATTTTGTATTACATATTTACTTCAGTCCGATCCTCAAACATTTTAACCACTATAAAATTCATACCATAGTAGTGAAAAAAGTACATGATATAGACAATATATTTGGTTCACTGTTACAGTTAACGGTGGATGGTCAGACTTTGGAACTTGGTCTTCGTGCTCTGCAACATGTGGGGGAGGAGATCAAACAAGAAGGAGATCTTGCAGCAACCCTGCTCCAGCGTTTGGTGGAGCTGCCTGTGTTGGAAATGCTGAGGAATCCCAAAAATGCAATACAAATCCATGCCCAGGTAGGTTTCAACATTTTGACACACTTTGAACAAATCATTAACCATTTTATTTGTATGCGAAATAAATCTCCTGTGACCAGTTATTGATGGAAAAAGGCAATGAAATAATCAGAATTCAGATGTTCTAGAACTGTTCCTTGTGGAACGCCAACAAGGATAAAAGTTGCGACCTTTGTTTCTGTTTTTAAAGTTTATTCATAACACCATGGTTTTACCTTCCTTTTCCAAAATCTGATTTTAAACATTTTAACAAACATTAAGTGAATAAAATTCTCGAAACTTTAAAACAGCGCTACCTAGCCTTAGTTCTTATATTTATGGCGTTTAAAAATAATGGCGGTTAAAAATATGGCGAAATTAGTACTCCAAAAATTGACTAAGCGGAGTGGAGTTGGGTTAGAAACATATAAGAGATACGATGATTTAACTTGTAGAATCTTTCAATAAACATGTGTTAATCGTCGTCAGCTCTGACTAAGCGGGTTTTATTATGGCGGTTAAAAACAAAAATATGGTGAAATTTCCGAAAAACTGCCAAATTCAACCTGCATTAATCAAACGAACTTAAGTATTAATCTTGGATTCACCAAATTTGGTTAAAAGCCAAAAGGGCAATAACTTATTACTTATCGAAATATGCTGTTACAGTTAACGGAGGATGGTCAGACTTTGGAACTTGGTCTTCGTGCTCTGCAACATGTGGGGGAGGAGATCAGACAAGAAGGAGATCTTGCAGCAACCCTGCCCCAGCGTTTGGAGGAGCTGTCTGTGTTGGAGATGCTGAGGAATCCCAAAAATGCAATTCAAATCCATGCCCAGGTAGGTCACAAATTATGAAAATTCACTCATTTTGAATATTTTTAATGAGCAAATCGATCAGTCGGTGGCCTTGATATGTTAATTTTGTCAGGTAATGCTACCAAATTGGTGAGAAAATCTGTGAATTTTGAGATTCAAATCCCTGCAAAAATCCTGGCAACAAGGCGATCATGGTCAGGAACCAGAACAGGATGAAAATACTAATCCCCTTCAGGATTCTGGCTTTGCCGATATCCTGGTCGACCACTGGCAGATTTATGAGCTGGGATGGGGATGAACTCATTGTTCACATTTTAATTTCAGTTCCTTACCACCATAAGTGAACAAAACGTCATATTGACAATATATATTTGGTATTACTATTACAGTTAACGGAGGTTGGTCTAACTTTGGATCTTGGTCTGCATGCTCTGTGACATGTGAGGGAGGTACACAAACAAGAGTCAGATATTGCAACAATCCTGCCCCAGCTCATGGTGGCAGCTTGTGCTCTGGATCTTCTAGCATATCACAGATATGTAACACTCACGTCTGCCCAGGTAAAAATCAATTAACGTGAACTAACGGTGCATTCTGGTGGATTCGTGTAGTGTTATATGTATTAGAATCTGTCTTCACTGAGTCTATTCAGAAACAATCAGAAATTTGAATGAAAGAACTAACGGTGCAACTTTAAGGATCCTCAATGAAAGTGCAAGGGTAACCATCATTCATTTTTTCAGTTTTTGCAAGTTCAACATTAGCCTACTATGGTTATTGGGGAGGCTGGGGAGCGTGGGAATACTGCCCTAATGGCGGATACGCAACTTCCTTCAGACAGAGGGTGGAGGCTAATCAAGGTGGTGGAGACGATTCGGCACTTAATGGAATTTGTCTGGTCTGCAGCCAAGGTGGGGTTGTTTGCAGTACTGTTGGACCATGGGGCTCCTGGGCCGATAGTTCGGCATGTTCGTCTGGGTTCAACGCATTCAATCTCAAGTACGAGGACCAGCAAGGAGGAGGAGATGACACTGCTGCTAACGAAGTGATTCTTTACTGCAGTAGCAACGGCTCTGGATACCAGACAAGCAACGCAGGACCATGGGGTAGTTGGACAGGACATAAGCAGTGTCCATCTGGTCAAGTCTTCTGTGGGATCCAAACTAGAGTGGAGGCAAACCAGGGCGGCGGTGATGACACTGCTCTTAATGGTGTGGATTTTGCTTGTTGTGAAAAAAGAAATTAGTACGATCAAAACATTTTAAACAATTGGGTATTTAAACCGGACTGCTCTTTTAAAAGTTCAAAGTATTAGTAGTTTTATCATTAAAATCAGGATTGCAATAGATTATATGAATTTTATTTGCTAAAAACACAGCCAAAAGCGTATCATTTACATATATTATATAAAGTGTCTTGTGTCTTAGGGCTCAGTGACCTTACTAGATGGTCATTCAAGAAAAATTCAGTCAAAACAGGGAAATATGGGTCTCGTAAAGCTAAAATTTGTAAATGTCCTACCGTTAGGACATATTCAAAATGTTGGTTCCAGACTTGTGTCACTCTCACTGATTGGTCAGTGATCAAAAATCAAATTTCAAAGCTATATTTTGTCTTATATTTAGTATTAGTACATCATTCTTTATAAAGATTTTAAAAATTTGATCCAAAAAATATAGTTTTCACACGCATGCCTGACTTGATCTGAACAACAACTGCTTTATTGATTGCTAAGAACTTGAAATGACATATTATTTTCTTAAGTGAAATTTACTGAAATAATTTTACTGAATTCCCCAGTTTTAGGTAATAACACAATGGCGAATAAGTTCCAAAACCAGAACCTTGACATCTCGGGACCGGACATTTAACATCGCTTTTATTCCCCTTTGATTGAGTAGGTAGCTGATCAGCTTGAGCTCAAAACTGATCTTGATAAATGGAAATGATAATTGAAGTAAATTCCTTTGAATAATTAATTATATTATATATTATATTGATGTATAGATAAACAAACTCCAGAAGGTTTATTTTGTATACGCTCTCATGATTTAAGCGCCAAAATTACCTCTAAATATAATGCGGTCCCCCGTACAACACTGTTACATTTTGTATTTCAAAATCGCGTTATAGAGGGGACTACTATTACACCAATTTTAGCACTCAACAGCCAAGGTATTATTGTATTGTATCATGGAATAGATATAGTTCACGTTATGGGTATAGCTAATAGATCTAGTTCACGTATGCCCTTCCCCTCTGTAAGTGCCTCTTTACACGATATTGAGAAAGTGAAACTCTGTTTGAGGATGGAGGGGATTATGACCCCTCTAAATAAATATTTAATACCTTCTGATCATATTACATACTCAATAAAAGTAATAGATTTGTAGTGTTGTAATTATTTTAAAACATATCTATTGTATACAAATTACACTAGCTCTTCACTCTACACTAGACCCTACTATTTGCCATGAAGTTAAATCAAGCTTAATACTGATTCAGAAGGTTTCTTTGATCTGGAATAACTCAATGAAACAATAAGTTTTCAATGAAACAGTAAGCTTCATTTTACATTCCTTTAATCATAAATAAAATAAGAGCTTAAACCACGAATTAGTTAACTAGAAGTAAACTTGAGGAAATATTCTTTGGTGATTGTATATAATTATTTAAAAAACTTTATTTGGTTGTTAGTATTTGTATTATGGCAAGTGGTTGAATTTAGGGAGACAAGGTCAGTTTCTCTATTATCGTAGAAAACTCTCATGTTATATGTGTAGTAGGTTCAATGCGATTTAAAGAAGATTACGGAGGGATAACGCTGAATGAGATTGAGCTAAAGCCTAATGCAACTACTGAGATAAAAGTTGTCCACAAAGGACATCAAAAACTATCCTCCTTTTTGACTGTTAGTTACTACATTTTCATACATTTTAGAAATGGTAGAAATGCATAATATCCTTTATAATTTATATAATATATCATATTATTCTAATGAAATTATATCTGGGGTAAGAAATTCATATATTCAATGTAATCGTCCTGTAAAAAACAAGATTTTATTTATTTTAACCAGGAAGTGTTCCTACCTCAAGGCTACCCAAGCTCAGTCAGCAAGGACTACTTAACCTATCAGTTTTGGGATACCTTACAGGTGAAATATTGACTGTTTATCCCCAGCCTTGGCCTTGTAGCTACAATTTTATATGGGTAGTGTTTCTACAATAATATGTAAGGAATACTTTATAATAAACTAGGTAGCATCCCAGAAGGTAGTATTCCATTGGGGTGTCCAGATATAAGTCTGCCATCATCCTGGTTAGATCATGTGATATGTTAGTTAATCTGGGTCGTGTAACTGAGAATTATTAATTAACTACAAAATATTTAAGTCCAAGGTGTTAATACTAAAAATTTATAAAAATAAAAGAGTATAATATAAATATATTTTGACTTTGTATTACATCACCTATATATAGTTACACTACATAGGTGTAACTATATAGTTACACTTATCCATAATACACTATATCCATAATCTCTATAAACAAATTCTTTCTATTTTACTTACGAATGTGTTATGAACAGTTCGGAGTGATATTATAATATGTATTATAATTATAATATTATAATAGTATCTGGGATTCGGAAAGTTCGGAAACGATTTATTGGCTATTAAGATGGTACAGAAGACAGCAGACAGGGAAACCGCGTTTTCATGGATTACAAAACTCAAATATTATATGATTTCTGAAATTACACCAATATTGCCAATCGCAAAAATCACGCCTAGACTGTACGATCAGAGTATTACCGACGAATCACCTACAAATTAATATTAGTGGGTGGGAAACACAGCGCAGACAATTAAATAACAGCCGATATTATTGGAAGTACTGATACGCATTACGCATTAAATAAGAGAGCTTCGTAACTCAAGTTACGCTTGGAATGCCGATGTATCACTATTGGTATTTAAAATTTCCGCTTACCCATTCATATAAGATATATATTTACTTAAACTTTAAGTTAAAGACCATCCATTTTATATTCGGAGGAAGGAGTTCCTTATTAACCATTCAATAAGATTAAATACTCGATATTTAGAAGCTAATCCAGGAAGTAACCTCATTTAACGGTAGAACGGCTTCAGTCTAACAACCGGGGTTTATATAAGTAACTAGAAGGCCCGTGGTCACAGGGAGGAAGCTAATGGCATACTTTCATAGTAAGTTTTTATGGCATCAAAAAATATCCGTCACAACCGAAAATACTGCCGATCAAAATGTCGCTCACAAATCTTTGCACGTGCCCGTGGTGTGCGTTTCAACATCGTTACCGTGGTTACTATGCAACTTGTATTTGTTTACTAATTTGCACGTGGGCGGTCGTACAGACAGACATAATTCTCTGAATTATAAGTAAGACTAGAGAACCCGTGGTCACAGGGAGGAAGCTAATAGTATTTTATGTAAGTAATTTTAAATCGCGTCAAAAAATATCCTACACAACCGAAGATACAGCCGATTAAAATGTTGCTCGCACTAAACACAACGTAATATCACCAAAACCGATTATAAAAATGCCGTTTTAACAATCGTTGCACGTGCACGTGCGTGTAACAACCCTCGTTACCGTGGTTACTTTGCAAGATTTTGCTTTTTACCTAATTTGCACGTAGGCGGTCGTACAGACAGAAATAATTCTTTGAATTATAAGTAAGACTAGAAAGCCCGTGGTAACAGGGATGAAGCTAGTAGGTTTCTATTTTTTGGTAGTCAGTTTTTATAGCATCAAAAAATATCCGTCATAATCGAGTAAACAGCCCATTAAAATGTAGCTCGCACTGAACACAGCGTAATTACCACAAAACCGATCAAAATTATGTTAAAACAATCATTGCACGTGCACGTGCACATTTCAACACCGTTACCATGGTAATAACTTTGCAACTACCTATTTCTCGTATAATTTGCACGTGGGCGGTCGTACAGACAGCATAAAGAATTCTCTGAATTATAAGTAAGACTAGAAAACCCGTGGTCACAGGGAGGAAGCTAATAGTATTTTTTGTTAGTAAGTTTAAATCGCGTCAAAAATATCCTACACAACCGAAGATACAGCCCAATTAAAATGTTGCTCGCACTAAACACAACGTAATATCAACAAAAACGATAAAAAATGCTGTTTTAACAATCTTTGCACGTGCACGTGCGTGTAACAACCCTCGTTACCATGGTCACTACGCAAGTTCATATTTTTCCTTTGTTTTGCACGTGGGCGGTCGTACAGACAGACAGCAGAAATAATTCTCCGAATTATAATAGAGATAGAAAATATCTACAATGTTATACAGTAAAAGCTTGATTTACCGCAAACCCTGATTTACCGCAAACCCTGATTTACCACATCTGTTTCCTTTCCCCAAACTCTGCAGTAAATCGGGGTTTCACTGTCCCTGGTACTGAATATGTTTAGTAGAAAATATGCCATATGGTTCACAATTAAATACAATAAAATATGGAAAACCATACTATCATTTAAAATCTTGAAATTGATATTTATCAATAAAATTAAGAAATGATTTTCCTTTTGTTCAGGAGTTGTGTTCATCACTGAATGGTACTTTAGCATCACATGCTATCTTCAAAGGAATGGGTGTAGGGAACAGCCAAGCTAGTGCTTTGGGAGCTACATACACTTGGTTAATGAAAGGTAAAGCAAATATTGTGTATATTATAAATTATAATATTACGGTTTACTAGTTTTACTAAAAGAAATTAATTTGGATTTTACACAAACGGCAAAAAATGGGGTTGAACCACCCTGTAAAAATCATCCTGCTGCATTGATTCAAGTAGGAATTCCTAGTATCTTAGCCTGTTACATTTATGTTCAACATCTTTTGAGTTTTGTCCATCATTTTCTACCGTAACTTACAATAAAACTTATTGTATTATACATATTATAATAGTATATCAATATAAGGTATTTATTCAATAATTGAAGAAGTTTCGAGTAAGTTTGTCGAAGCGTGTTACAAATACTAAGATGTGTTAAAATACTGGAATCTAGATCAATTAATCAATTAATCAATTAATTAATTAATCAATTAACCAATTAATCAATTAATCAATTAATCAATTAATCAATTAATCAATTAATCAATAAATCAATTAATCAATTAATTGCAGATGTATTTAAATAGTTAAATGTTTATTATTCATATTTAAGTAATCCTCTAAATTACAGATGGCACAGGAATGCTCTCTAACATACTGTTTGCTTGGTCTAAAGGAACTGTACTTGATATAGATGCTAAAAGGTGGAGACTATTTGCTGATGTCCTCAACGATGTAGCTATGTTCTTGGACCTTCTTTCCCCCTTGGCACCACCCTATTTGTTCACAGCTGCCATGTGCTGCACTTCAGTTTTCAGGGTACTGTTAATTGATATGGGACCTGGTGGGAAGTATTTTTGACACGTGACTGAAATTAACCAATCAGCTTAGACTATTTGCCAATAAAACCCAAGAATCACTGTCACGTGTCAAAAAATATGCCTCAACTCCCAACTTCAGTTCACATCTATCATTTATTGCTGATTATATGTATTTTAGTTGTAACGGTTTATAATTATTGTGATTTGATTTTTGTTACCAATTTTAAAAGCAACACATTATGAAGAATCAATACCCTTATTTTAGAGTAATTGAAAGTTTTCGTTTTTCTGTGAAGTACAAGTCAGAGGCAGTATGGACTCACATTTATTGTAGAATAAACAATCAGCTTCCACCTTTGACCAGTCATAATCCAGAACAACTGGCACCAGTCAGAATCATTGTCACAAGTCAAAATAAATTTTAGGGTATTTTAAGATTTCTTACTGTAATACTTATTTATCGCTGCGAGCTATTTAATTTCTAAAGGTCTAACGTTTATAACCAAACTTCTGATTTGAGTGGCAACAAATAGCAACAAATAGTAATAACTATAGTTAATTAATAATTAATTAATTACTAACTAATTAATAACTAACAAGATATAGCAATAACTATAATTTCAGAGTCTGGTAGGAGTAGCAGGAGGGTGTACCCGCGCAACGATCAAACAGCACCAAGCACAGTGCAATAACACGGCTGATGTGAGCGCTAAGGACGGTAGTCAGGTATGCAGGCTACTTTTTATTGGTTTTATAAAGAAATCACAAAGTTTAAGAAAACACAAATAAAATCATATTAGATAGATTTTATTATGACCAGATTTTTAAGATTTTAAGGGGGGGGGGGGGCAATGGGTATTTTTATGTGAAACTTGATTTCGAGATAGCAGTTGACCAACAAACTAGGACCGGTGACCGAACTTTTGAGGGGGTTCCGGACCCCAACCGCCAAACGGTGCCCACGGGGCAGCCACGCACTTTTTTTCTCCAAATTAGGCCCAATTTAGCCAAATAATTTAATATTATCATTTCTTATCATTTCTTATCATTTATTTTATATTATTTATCTTATGTTTTTTAATGTTCCTTTGTATCATTTATTTCATATTATTTTTAATTTCACTTGATAGGATTTGATATTTTGACTGGTAGACGGTATGGGATTAGGTGAAGAAGGCTATGTTGGATCTTTACAGGAACTCAAGTCTGAGTAAGACTCAGCCCTGTTGGCTGTTTCTTGTTTTAACCTTGTAAACGTGTGTGCGATTAAATGTTCAGTAATACTGTGCTGTTTATAATCTAACCAGGGTACTAGTGGTAAGTGTAGATTAGTTTTGATAAATTCTTTTTGTAATAAATAAAACTGCGTTCCATAAAACATATTCAGTTCTTTGAATCAAATGGTTAGAATGAACATTTTCCGTGATAGTAACATACGAGCGAAATCATTCCGAGACAGTGACAAATAGTTTTAGAAATACCCCGTTGGAAATTGTCAGATTCTTGCAATCGATTTTAATTAAATACTAAACGACTGCTAAAGTCAATAAAATCTTATCAATCAAATGCGGGGAAATGTCGAACATGGTTCCTTTCTCTATTGAATAATAAGAGCAAAATATAAAAACAAAATATGAAAACTGTTTATCAAAATAAAGCCCCTAAAAATAACTGTTTCGGATTTTAGTCCTTCTTCAAAGTGCCTGACAGGACGACTTGCAAGATAAGAGAGTCTGGGTTTTTGTTGTTGTCTTTCTTGTATGAGTCAATATTCTAATGTCTTCCGTACTTCCTTATTCCAGGGACTTCTTTTTAAGAGGGAACTGAAGGCTCAATTTCTTCAAGAATTAACGGGCTTTCCTCATTATCAATTGTGTTGTCGATGTAAAATCCTTCTGGAGAGGTCTCAGGGACCTCTGTGTATGTTCTCTTGTTTGCTACCTGTTTCAACAGAATGATTATCAGTACAATCAGGAGGGTCACCGATACAGCTCCGAACACAATCGTGAGGAATCAGATACAATCCTGAAAATAATCGCATGTTTTTCACATGTCAATTGGTTATTGTTTTAGTATATTTATTGTATATTATATAATATATTATATATACATTGCACTTCCCTGATTTTGCTGAATAAATGTTTGAAGCTCTCTCATCATTATCATTAGACTGTGTAACAAATGAATTTTCTAATCGTGTAAAAGTCGTGTCGTGTAAGTAAAAACATATAGACTACTCACTCAAATTGCTCTTTGTTTGAGATAACTCCAACGTAATATTTCCCAGCCTTTGCTTGGTTTGGGTAGCTGGAAATATATATCAGTGGTTATTTTTTCTGCTTTTTTCTTATATTTTTCATTGGCATTGGCACTTAAAAATCATTTTAAAGCCCAGCCAAATTCCTCGCAAAGAATATTTTTTACAATTACACATTCGGCTCCTGTAAATAGCCGGTTTGTACTATGTAACCATTACATATTCTTTCTAGGGCTGTTTGGATAACCAAGGTAAAATAAGTATCTAGATACAAAAACTTGCTTTAAAAACTTACAATTTATTGACAATAATCAACATCAAACTTTAATTTACCCGTGTTATTTTGTTGACTGAACAGATTTTCTAACTTCTCCTCAATGTTATCTAGTCTTTGCATAGTGCATTCAGGTAATTCAAAATCAGTAACATTTCCTCTCCTATCTTCTAACATTACTGCTTCCCATCTAAGTATCCTGCTGCTGTCTAGTCTCGCCTCCTCAGCCGAACACATCTGAGACGACATTCTTCTAACCTCAGTGTTATCCAGAGCCCTATTATACATATTCAGCTTGAAGAGGTCTCCTCCGAATATGTAATTTGAACTCTTAGAATACGCACTGTTTCCCAGACACATCTTACCTCCAGTTCTTATCTCTCTCTCTCTCTCTTCAGTTCCTCTACTCCCAATAACCTCCCCGTTAACATACACTGAGAGAGTGGAGCTGCCCCAGGTCCAGCACACATGGAACCAGGTCCCATCAGGTACTGTGAACTTGCTCTGAAGTTGGAGATAATCACCTACCACTGCGTTAACAACACCATCATCCCCTAGTTCTATTCCATAATCATAACCACTGTCAGGTATGTAAGTCAACACTACTGAATTACTTGCTCGGAACCTCTTCCTTAGCCAGGTACACACACTGAACTGAACTGTGTACGGGCTCATATCCGGACTCCACTCTATATAATCACCCATGTCTGTCCAAAACTCAATGCTGTTTCTTCACTGGCAGTGTATGCAGGGTCATATTGGAGGAGGAATATAACGACAACAATTAGTTTTATCATGCTATATCAAATGTTAGGGGGTTAGAAAAATCCGTTTAAATTCGAGATTATTTTGTATTTGATCAATTAAACTGTATCTTAAACTATCCAGGAGAAATTGTCAGGACTTCTTGGATTGCTCCTCAGCATGACTCTCATCAACTTCATCTCGCTTTCTCCTATCGTTACTTGGATAACGTTCACTTTCCTAACTGTCCTTCATCTTTATTTGTAAGTTATTTGTAAGTTATCTGTAAGTTACAAGTAAGGTACAAGTAAGGTACAAGTAAGGTACAAGTAGGTACAAGTAAGGTACAAGTAAGGTACAAGTAAGGTACAATTAAGGTACAAGTAAGGTACAAGTAAGTTACAAGTAAGTTACAAGTAAGGTACAAGTAAGGTACAAGTAAGTTACGTGTAAGTTATTTGCAAGTTATTTGTAAGTTACAAGTAAGGTACAAGTAAGGTACAAGTAAGGTACAAGTAAGTTACAATTAAGGTACAAGTAAGGTACAAGTAAGGTACAAGTAAAGTACAAGTAAGTTACAAGTAAGGTACAAGTAAGGTACAAGTAAGGTACAAGTAAGTTACAAGTAAGGTACAAGTAAGGTACAAGTAAGGTACAAGTAAGGTACAAGTAAGTTATAAGTAAGGTACAAGTAAGGTACAAGTAAGTTACAAGTAAGTTACGTGTAAGTTATTTGCAAGTTATTTGTAAGATACAAGTAAGGTACAAGTTAGTTTGTGAGAGAAACTTTGTGCTGCAATATTTCTTTCTTTATATTTTCTATGATATCAACAACAACAAAAAGAATTAAAAAGTGATCATGATATTTGAATGTTTACACAATTATATTAACAACTTAAATGAGACAATATAGTAAATATTGAAAGTTTTATTAAGTTTAATAATTCAACACCCTGGTCCAGTAACTACCGAGCATGCAGCTGTCTGGTTATGAAATCTCTAAATCCTTCAAGATACTGTGTTTTGCTTAAACATTGGTTTGAAGATGGAACCGTGTTAAATCCTGAACAGGCTAACTCTGAGGAACCCTTCATTTTAGGTAAGTGTATTATTCGTTATAATAGATTATTAATAAAGTATCATCATTAGCTGCTGTATAATTTCGATGCAAATGTTTAGAAAAACCAATATAATTTCAGGTTTTAGAGGGGAACAAATTATGGTTGGGGCATCGCTTAAAGATCTAAAGCTGAGGTAATTAAACAAAATTCCGTATTTTCCACGATCATGACGTCACATTTTATAATATGGCAGCTATAATTATTCCCCGTATTTATTAAAATTCTATCCTTTACTTGGATTTCTACATGGTGTTATTTCAGCTTTGATTCGACTACTGACATGGAAATAAATCAGTCCTTTTATATAATATATCATCATAAAGGTAAGCTGATCGAGTTAACCGATTTTTTTGTTTATTTCACAATATTCCTTCCTTATAAATAAAGAAATTATCAGAGTTGATTTTGTTGTTGTGGTGAAAATGCTTCCCGCGTTAGAAGGTGTACTCTGTGGAACGCGCGTTAACGAACCAATATTTTATATTGTGTCAGCAACATTACGCGCGCGCGCAAATTATATATATTATAATATAGATATGCTACGTTACATAATATATTATTCGTTACATATTATGTAATATGTGATTAAGTTATGTTTTTATTTTATTGTTTTTATCTCAGCCGTTTCCCACTTTTAAGACCCCAGGGTCGGGGTTAAGGTTCCCTTACCCTAGTCATATATCAAATGCAAGATTACCGACGAAGTTAGCAAACTGGACCAGGAGAAGTAAAATAATGGCCCTAAACAATAAACAAAATGACACTTATCGGAACCATATACGCACATTTCATCGCCAATCTTATCACAAAAATCTTCAACAGCCGAGCAGTACCTTATTACCTCATTAAAAGACATTTTGGTCGTAATTTTAAACTCGAATAGGGGATTGAGCTCTTTTTCTAGGCCTGTTGTATAACTGTTTAACAGTTAAGACAGCTATTCATTAACGAATTAAATAGTTTTTTATCAAAATTACAAATGAACGTTCGGAAAATATCAAGGATTGAACGTGTGTTCATTTTAAGTTTAAAGAATATTGACAGTGTTAAGAAGTATACGTTAAGAAGTGAATTATAAAATAAAAATCGTATAATTTAGAAATATTATATATAATTTCGCCGGTCATGATAAACGCATTATAAAAAAGCATTATCAGGCAAGGTTCATCTCTAGCTTCATTGTCAAATATTAAAAATATTAAAAGAATTTAAAAAGAAAAGCCATGCATCTAATATGTGCTACAAACGCTGGCATACGTCATGAAGTATGACGAATCCCCCCTTTTAAACAAAGAGCTAGTAAGCGAAAATTGTCGAAAACTCACGAATTGAAGATGATCATTGGAATCCGTATAATCAATTTCTCAAAAATCAAGTGTTCTGTCTACATTACATTTCAAATTTGTTCTTTATAATGTCAATATGTTAAGCAGTTTTAGCTATTGTCAGCTGTACAGCAGAGTTGAATCTTCCAGGCTGGGGGTTTTGTTCGTTGATTACGTAATCAAAATTTTTTTAAACCCCTCTATAATAATAACATATACGCATCTAGTAGCCTACAATGAGCTTTCATAAGCTTGTTACGCCCCTAGTAAGCGTAAATAAACATGTTAGGATGTCCAATTTAGGTGTTAAATGGTGTTAAAGATGAATTTTCGAATACAAAATTCATGGCATAAAATGGAGAATTACTCATGGGTTTAAGTGGGTTTTTCCATTTTATCCATAGAAAAAGTATCCATTTTATGCCATTGGCCCCCACAATATTTTAATTCAAATTCCACTCAATTTCTAAAAAATTGGCAAAAATATTGATTACGTAATATGTGATGTGTGAACGACACCTAACAAATAATTTGAGATCATGAATACGATGTTGTCACATTAAAACGTTGAACAATTCCTTTCCTGATGAGAGCCTTGTCGCACCAAACGGGATCAATAGAAATTTACCCAAGAAAACATTGCGTGAACGGGTATTAAAATAAACGCGCGAAGGCATTCATTTAATATATTTAATTTAACTACCTTCTCGGACTTTATTTGAAATGAAATTCAAATTAACGCTTGAGCTTCCAGCGTCCAATTAGTGTCAGTCCAAATAATAATAGTGGATAGTTGCTACCTCTGATCAATCCACGTAATAAAAAATTGTTAACGTTTTACTGGAAACCACTTTTCTAGACGTTCCATGCTACCCTGGTTATTATGAGCAGGAATACGATCTTGAAATCAAGGCTTCCCCTACCTCGAAAAACTTAATACGTCATTTTTAAATTCAGTTGCTGATGGAGGGGGTGGGTTTGAAAAACGATAATTATATATTGAAAACGATAAATGTGTGTCATTCATCTATTCATGATAAGTATGCACACGATTATTCTATTATTGTGCGAGAAGTGTTTTATCGCTTACGGATCGCACGATTATGACCAATGGGGCTGCGATAAATGTTCGGCGTCCGCTGATTTTAGTTTTGCTGCATTTATCTGTTAAAAATGATATTAGTTTCGAAAACAATATCAATCTGTTAAAACAAATACAATAGTCGCTTTGGAAAATGATAATCGTTTAATTATAATTTTTTACGGAAACACGATAACACGGTAGTTTGTGAAAAACGCGTGATAATTGTTAGATTATCTTTTTTTCCTACATTCCGATGGAACCTCAAGTCTGACGTATAATTGCGGGCGAATAGCACGTAAATTAATCACCTTACCACTAATTTGATACTTTCAGGCAAGATGAATATATGTTTGAGATCTGGTTGCAACCACTCAGATCAAATTGAGTCCTATTATTTCGCTTACAAAGCTGCCCAATCTTCACACTCTCCGGTTATCCTCCCTACCACTGGTTTGCACTTTTTAGTAATTTTTTAAGCATTTATTTTTTTCATGGTTTAAGTTCAATATTTTACTTTTTCAAGATCATTTTTGATTAACTTAAACAGTTAAACTGTTTCACTTAATTGAATTAATGTAACATAGATTAGCTCAACTCGGCTAAATTTATCCAAATCCCCAGAGAAAATGGCTGAGTACAAGGAATTTATCTCCTGCTTAACGAACAGAGGATGGGATCTCTCCTTTGCTCCCCTGGGGGCCACACAACTCCGGTATTCTGCTAGCTCCTAGTACCCTGGGGGCCACACAACTCCGGTATTCTGCTAGCTCCTAGTATCCTGGGGGCCACACAACTCCGGTATTCTGCTAGCTCCTAGTACCCTGGGGGCCACACAACTCCGGTATTCTGCTAGCTCCTAGTATTCTGGGGGCCACACAACTCCGGTATTCTGCTAGCTCCTAGTACCCTGGGGGCCACACAACTCCGGTATTCTGCTAGCTCCTAGTATCCTGGGGGCCACACAACTCCAGTATTCTGCTAGCTCCTAGTACCCTGGGGGCCACACAACTCCGGTATTCTGCTAGCTCCTAGTATTCTGGGGGCCACACAACTCCGGTATTCTGCTAGCTCCTAGTACCCTGGGGGCCACACAACTCCGGTATTCTGCTAGCTCCTAGTATTCTGGGGGCGACACAACTCCGGTATTCTGCTAGCTCCTAGTATCCTGGGGGCCACACAACTCCGGTATTCTGCTAGCTCCTAGTACCCTGGGGGCCACACAACTCCGGTATTCTGCTAGCTCCTAGTATCCTGGGGGCCACACAACTCCGGTATTCTGCTAGCTCCTAGTATTCTGGGGGCCACACAACTCCGGTATTCTGCTAGCTCCTAGTATCCTGGGGGCGACACAACTCCGGTATTCTGCTAGCTCCTAGTATCCTGGGGGCCACACAACTCCGGTATTCTGCTAGCTCCTAGTATCTGGGGGCCACACAACTCCGGTATTCTGCTAGCTCCTAGTATCCTGGGGGCCACACAACTCCGGTATTCTGCTAGCTCCTAGTATCTGGGGGCCACACAACTCCGGTATTCTGCTAGCTCCTAGTACCCTGGGGGCCACACAACTCCGGTATTCTGCTAGCTCCTAGTATCCTGGGGGCGACACAACTCCGGTATTCTGCTAGCTCCTAGTACCCTGGGGGCCACACAACTCCGGTATTCTGCTAGCTCCTAGTATCCTGGGGGCCACACAACTCCGGTATTCTGCTAGCTCCTAGTACCCTGGGGGCCACACAACTCCGGTATTCTGCTAGCTCCTAGTATCCTGGGGGCCACACAACTCCGGTATTCTGCTAGCTCCTAGTATCCTGGGGGCCACACAACTCCGGTATTCTGCTAGCTCCTAGTATCCTGGGGGCCACACAACTCCGGTATTCTGCTAGCTCCTAGTATCCTGGGGGCCACACAACTCCGGTATTCTGCTAGCTCCTAGTATCCTGGGGGCCACACAACTCCGGTATTCTGCTAGCTCCTAGTACCCTGGGGGCCACACAACTCCGGTATTCTGCTAGCTCCTAGTACCCTAGGGGCCACACAACTCCGGTATTCTGCTAGCTCCTAGTATGCTGGGGGCCACACAACTCCGGTATTCTGCTAGCTCCTAGTATTCTGGGGGCCACACAACTCCGGTATTCTGCTAGCTCCTAGTATCCTGGGGGCCACACAACTCCGGTATTCTGCTAGCTCCTAGTATTCTGGGGGCCACACAACTCCGGTATTCTGCTAGCTCCTAGTATCCTGGGGGCGACACAACTCCGGTATTCTGCTAGCTCCTAGTATCCTGGGGGCCACACAACTCCGGTATTCTGCTAGCTCCTAGTATCCTGGGGGCCGACACAACTCCGGTATTCTGCTAGCTCCTAGTACCCTGGGGGCCACACAACTCCGGTATTCTGCTAGCTCCTAGTACCCTGGGGGCCACACAACTCCGGTATTCTGCTAGCTCCTAGTATCCTGGGGGCCACACAACTCCGGTATTCTGCTAGCTCCTAGTATCCTGGGGGCCACACAACTCCGGTATTCTGCTAGCTCCTAGTATCCTGGGGGCCACACAACTCCGGTATTCTGCTAGCTCCTAGTACCCTGGGGGCCACACAACTCCGGTATTCTGCTAGCTCCTAGTATCCTGGGGGCCACACAACTCCGGTATTCTGCTAGCTCCTAGTATCCTGGGGGCCACACAACTCCGGTATTCTGCTAGCTCCTAGTATCCTGGGGGCCACACAACTCCGGTATTCTGCTAGCTCCTAGTATCCTGGGGGCCACACAACTCCGGTATTCTGCTAGCTCCTAGTATCCTGGGGGCCACACAACTCCGGTATTCTGCTAGCTCCTAGTATCCTGGGGGCCACACAACTCCGGTATTCTGCTAGCTCCTAGTATCCTGGGGGCCACACAACTCCGGTATTCTGCTAGCTCCTAGTATCCCTGGGGGCCACACAACTCCGGTATTCTGCTAGCTCCTAGTATTCTGGGGGTCACACAACTCCGGTATTCTGCTAGCTCCTAGTACCCTGGGGGCCACACAACTCCGGTATTCTGCTAGCTCCTAGTACCCTGGGGGCCACACAACTCCGGTATTCTGCTAGCTCCTAGTATCCTGGGGGCCACACAACTCCGGTATTCTGCTAGCTCCTAGTATCCTGGTGGCCACACAACTCCGGTATTCTGCTAGCTCCTAGTATTCGGATAATATTGTGTTATTTAAATGTTAAGATCTTTAAGAGTGGGGGTGTTTCTTAGTTTTTGAGATTTTTTTTCATAAATGGTTAATAATAATGATATTGATGTTATATTAATTTTAGGATATCTGTTGTTTTTAGGGTTCTCTGTAAACAGTTTTCAGTTTTATAGCTCTCGAAAAAAGGTGCGTTTCTATTCAATTTTCCATTTTTTAAATAAGAACAACACAAAATAATTGCACAACTTCTAAATTCTATAACTTCTAAAAATATTGTTGTCCAGAAGTGATCCTACTTAAAATAAGTATTATCTCATCAAACGATGTCAAAATCTCGATAAGGATTTGTAAATTAGTTGTCAGAATAAATCCCTTCGCTCAAATCCCCACAAGTTCACACAAATCCCCCGTTAATTATTGGATATTCAATCATCATCACGTCACACACTGATCAGTAATCACGTGTGTGCTTAGATGTCAACATAACTCTCCAAGATAGCAAATTTAATTAAAATTGATTATTTTTTAAATGGATGTATAATCTTTAATAAGCCCGATATATCGACACTTAATAATTCAATTAGATTGAGTGATTATTGATCGGGAGATAATGAGTTAGCTAGATCCTCGTTTGACACGGTGCTCATAACAATTTCCTTTGCATAAAAAAGAGCATTTTTTCTTTGTCGCAAACACAGAATCATCAGAAACATCACGACAATGCAGCTCGTAAATAATGTTCCAATTATATCTGGATATTACACAGGTACTCATATATTATATAATATATAGTATATAATATGATATAATAATAATATAATATTTAAAGTAACACGATTTAACTTGTTTTCAGATTTGTCCCTCTGTTTTCTTAAATGACTCACCAGTCCCACCCCTCCCCCACATGGACTGAAAATTATAAAAAATTAAGCGTGATTCAACTTACATTTCAACTCTTTGTGTGCTCTATTAAATATATCATTATTCACAATAATTATTGATAATATTCAACAAAATACACAGATAAATTCAGCAATGGTCATGGTCCAGCTATAATATTAGACACTCTTAACAATATACAAACCAATACAATAATTAATGTAATAAAACGGTAAACATTTTAAAAAACGGTCGCGGTATAGAATACAAAAATCTATCATTATTCACTGCCTCCTTAAAAGGTCATAAATGAAGATAAGAAGATAAGAAACACTCTAATCACATTTACCCTGTAATGATTATATCATTTTTTATACGATTTCCGATAGAAGTTTATAATCATTGTGAGGCTTAATAGTGTCTTACGAACCATTGAAATTATGAGAGTTACACGTTACATCGTCTAGCATAAGCAATAATTCAACTATAACTATAAGCATGAAGACAAACACTTATGGAACGTTGATAAATACCTGTGCTCACATCGTGCAGATATTATACAGTTTTTGTACATAATTTACTGTAATATAATATAAGCATGAAAACAAAGATAACCTGGTTTAAAAAATGACGCAGGTCTGAAAGATATCACAATGCTGGCAAGCATTACCGTCGCCCTTATATCCACAATACTATTTACCCCCTATACTATTATATTATGACGCAATGAAACTACCGGACTGCGATGTATGGGGACTTGCCACCCCATGGCAACATTAAAATATATCGACTCTGTTACATCGTTTCCTGTTAGTATAAAACTCCGTTACAAAATGAACTAGGATCTGGCAATACTACACCTTAGATCAATAAAATATGATATAATAATGTATAACTGTTAACTAGACTTAAATAAAAGTCTGAAAGAATATAGAAAATAAACTGGTTTACCGCTTGAAAGTTTAACAATAAACTGTGAAAGTAAACTGTACCGATACGATCAAAGAAATAATGGCTAAAGGAGAAAGGCAAAAGGTAACATGCATAAGGAATTACAAGAGGGCTTCACACACACTATAATTACATGAAGTCATTAACTGTGAAAATATGCCAGTGTCTGAGGATACACGCTGGCTGACTATTAATAAATAATTTAAGATATCTATGTAAGATTTTCCGTTCAAAATTCTGGGTAATCAGTTTATCAATTAATAATTTAACATCATGAATAAATTCAGTAACTACTGAGGAAGATTTGCATATCCTATATAATTCACCTACAAATACTCCATACGAAGGTTTAACAGGTACGTTGGAGCGAAGGTTAGGAAAAGTAACGACTTTAAAATTAAAGTCACGTCGTTTGTCATATAATTTAGTGTAGAAACGATTGTTCAAAATATTAATGTCTAAATCAAGAAAAGTCGTAGATAAATTGCTAGAGTTTGTAAGTATAATCTTCAACTCTGCGGGGTAAATATCATTGCAAATAATATCGACAGTCTTATTGTTGATATTGGGGGTGGTTAAATCGTCAATGTATCGACTGGCGTGTTTCAAAGTGTGAACCACAGGGTTCTTGTTTTTAACTTGCAATGTGATGTAATTATGCTCGTACCAGTATAGAAAAAGGTCTGCGACCTGGGAAGCACAATCACATCCCATTGGGATACCAATTACCTGTCTGTAGATCACACCTCGAAACTTAACATAAATATTATCCATTAAGAATTTAAACATATCTATCAGGTCACTACATGTAAAAGACCACTTAGTCTTATTAACTCCCGACCATCTAGCTTTAAACTGGTCGTTGATATTGATAAAGTCAAGTTTCTTTTCCTCAAAACATAATTTAATTAAAGATGATAACTTCTCAATAAGTTTATCATGGGGAAGGTTGGTGTACAGTTTCTTAAAATCAAACGAATACACTGACTTAGCTGAGCAGGCATTATTAAGATAATTAAGGTTGGATGTCACTCTGTCTTTATTGTCGACAATCCAATAACCAGAAGCGTTTAAGAACTTAAAATTAAAATTATCTAGGTATTTTAAAGTAGTACCAAGCAGTTTAAATACCCCACTCAGAATTTTAGAAAGAACTTTAGTAGAAGATTTAACCCCAGCTGCAATGTACCTGAAATCCAAGGTCGGTTTATGGAATTTCGGTAACATGTGCATAAATGGTACCGAAAGATCATTCACCGGAATCTTAAACTTCTGGCAAAATTGCACATGCTTTCTTACAATATCCTCTTCAGAATCTGTGGAAACTTGATAAGTACTAGTGGAGGAAAGTTCATGCAATAAATTATCTAAATAGTACTTCTTGCAGACAAAAGAAACATTATTACTCGCTTTGTCTACGCTAGTCATAATAAAATGTTCTTTTAGGACATTAAGGTCCTCAAACTCTGAGGAAATAACAGTCTGATTCCGCTTACAAAATATCTTAGAGGAAAAAATCTTGGGTTTAAGAGTATCTAAAACTATGGCTCGCCAACCATCAAATAATTTAGTGCTGACACTGTACTTAGTTGCCAGACTTTTAATATATCTATGTAAGTCTGATTTAACACTCCTAAAAATAGCAAACTTATTTTTGTAAACTGGTTCAATAAAAGTGTAACCTTTCTTAAATAATTTTCTAAGTTTATTATTCTTAACAATATCTACGTTCCCAGTGATAACATGCCCGACACTCGGGTTGATGAAATCACTGTAATGACTACAAAAACAATTAACATTAGAGATAGGCTCATTATTTAAAACATGTTCCTTATAATTGGTAACATCAGCACGGATTGACTTCTCATATTTAAAACAGGTCGAGAATCTAAACTGAGGATTACTGAATTTCTTACTGAGATCCTTAAACGGAAATACTTTCATAGCGTCAGAATCATTTAATATACAATTTAATCCAAAATATTCCAACTCTTTAGATACAAAGTTAATAGGCACAAATTCTGAATATTTATTAACTGGTTTCTTATTAACTTTAAAATTATGTTTCTTAAAATCTAAAAATGAGATAGAGCGAGTTTTAAAATGGTTACATAAATCAATCACAATTAAATAACAAACTTTAATATCAGTAGTAGCATTGCCAATATTATTAGAAGTAAAGCTACCAAGGCCTATAACTTGATGCTTTTTAAGATTACAGATTAAAGCACGACATGCTCGAAGATTACCCTCTTTAAAAAGTTTCACAATATAGGAAAGTGTAATGTTAGGGTTAGAGTTGTTAGGGTTGGGAGGTGGTGAGGTTGTGGAATTTTTCGAGCCTCGAGATGTTCGGGACGAAGGGCGAGGGGGGAAGAGCTTGTAGATACATGCTCCATCCAGAAATTCGTTCTCTGCATCCAGGTAGTAAGGCTTCTCCAGGCGATCGTTTAGTCCATAGGGATATAGAGTGTTTAAGGACAGCATAAGGCTGTCTTCAACAGACTTAAGTGCAGCAGTCAGAGACTTTTTCTTGGAGTTAGGATTAGGATCTGATGTAAGAACCGTTT